TTCAACAGTAACATTTCGTTAAACAAGTTGTCTGTGAATTATCTCTGATATTTCAAGCATCATGTGAGCCCTAAAAATGATGTTCAGTTTTCCAAGTCTTTTCAAATGTAGTGAAAAATTCCAGTTCTTCACTAAGTTTTGCCAGCAAGTATGCTCAGAATTTCATAACACTTGAAAATCAAAATGTTAAGAAGGAGATAGACGTTATGTAGTCTATTAGATTTCATGTTGTTGCAACTGTAAGAATTGAAAAATGATATTGTTACCTTTCATTGGAATATTGTATAGTTTATGTGTTGTGTTATTCGTCAACGATAGGATTAATTAAACTTCAAGGGTAGATCAGAATTGTTTTTCAACATTACAAGTTCCAGAACAGAACATATTGTTAGAAGTTGTTGCAATATAACTTTATTTGTTCTTGACTACAGATCTGATTGTTATAATAAGCAGGTAGTCCCTGTGTTGGTTCCTTCAATCCACAGGATTCAAAACAGTGCTCCCAATGCATTGTTTTTATAAATATTTTTCACTTGAAGTTTTAGCAGCTGAGAAACATCTTATACTGATGTTTTTGTTACATGATAATTTAGCTTAATCTTTGATAGGTTAATTTCAACGAGCCACTTTCTACGTTGCAAAGACTTACAGAGGAGTATGAGTATTCTGAGCTGTTAGACAAAGCTGCGAAAATGGAGGACAGCTATGAGCAAATGGCTTACGTTGCAGCCTATACCATATCTTCTTACGCTACTACAAGCAACAGATCTGGGAAACCTTTTAACCCTCTACTAGGTGAAACCTATGAATGTGATCGAACAGATGATTATGGTTGGAGGTGCTTTACGGAGCAGGTGAGTTGCCTTAATTATTATTATAGCCCACTGGTTAACATGCCAGACTGTGAAGCTGGGGTTTTGTGGTTCGCATCCCGTTACTACCAAAAACATATTATAATAATGGTGGTTAAATCCTGATAAGTTTTGTTGGTATCTTCTAGCTGCCTTCTCTCCAGTCTTTCACTTTAAAATTAGAGATGGCTATTGCAAATAGCCCTCGTGTACCTTTGTACAAAATTCAAACAAGTGATCATTTTAGTAAACAAACAGATGTTAAAAACTTTGAGCTCTTGTTTTGTGATTTTTTCCTCTTGCATTTAGGTCATTATTAACATATATTAACTGCTTTTAACTTAAAGAAGTGTTAACATGAGGTACAAGCTAGGATACAGACTACACTATAATTTTTCATCTAAAGTGTAAGCTGAAACCAATTTTCCCCTTGAACATACTGTTGTCAGTAATATCAGACTTCATTCTCTTCTCAGTTGCAGACAAAGGCTTATAAACTAGAAGAAATATACTTGGCGGTTAACAGCGTCATACTCGGTAGAGTTAAGGCCGTATCAATTAAGTGGAGAATAATTTCAAAAATGAGTGTTTGCCTTTCCAGTATTTTATAATACCTTATTCGACAAGTAAATCATAGTTAGATGCTGGAAATTAAACTCATTTTCAATACTGTAAAACATCTTTGTAAATGACACATATTTATTTCTGCCTTATTAGTTGAAAGTTAGGCTTACATGGAGTTTGTATGAAGTGATAAGAACTAAAGCTGCGAGATTGAAATACCATCGTAAGAAGTTAAAAACAAAATTACATAATCTAATTTTAGACCCAAAATTCTAAGAGGTATATTTTGTTTCCTAGATAATAAGGTATTGTGCAGTTAGACATAGAACTTATGATCTAATCACAGGTTAGCCACCATCCACCAATGCTGGCCCAGCACTGTGAAGGAAAAGGCTGGACCTGTTGGCAGGAATTTAGCATGTCTAGTAAGTTCAGAGGAAAGTATCTCCAGATTATTCCTTTAGGTATTGCTCACCTAGTGTTTACTAGTACTGGTCATCACTACACCTGGCGGAAGGTGACCACCACTGTCCACAATATCATCGTAGGCAAGTTGTGGGTGGATCATCATGGTGAGATGGACATTGTAAATCACATGACTGGTGATAAATGTCATTTGAAGTTCATACCGTATAGTTACTTCTCTCGTGAGACACCAAGGAAGGTGAGACAGTTTTCTTAGTGCATTCTTAGAATGAGAAAAAATGCTTCTTCGGCTGCTAAGATTCACATCTAAAATAGTTTACATTGGGTACTGTAGCATTTTTTGGGCTGCTACTTCTAAATTAAGACTGTATTAAACATTTCAGTAACATATGTAATATTTGTCCTATTTCTGTCCATGCATTTTAAATTTGTTTAACAAATATGGTAATTGATAAGTACATGTTGTTCATGAATGTGTATTTTGTACTTTTTAATTTTTTTAAATAAACAAAGGGAATCTTAAATAGCTGCAGCTGTAATTAGATCTCAAACCGGTCAAGAAATGGAGCTGTGAACTAAATGTTTGTACTTGAGAAAAACTCTGAGTCATTCTGTGAGGTTTAGATATATTACTGACCATCTACATTTTATAAAATTTTAAAGAGTAAGGATTTATAGTGAAATGAAGAAGTTTGTGAATTTGGATGATGTTTGTAATCTATCTTGTAAAACTGAAGATTCTGTCATCATTTATTTATCTTTCTGTAAGCAGTTGTTTGAGCATTACTACATTTTATCTAACAACTTTTTACTGTTACCCAGGTGACTGGTGTAGTCACAGACAAAGAAGGTACAGCAAATTGGGTACTCCAAGGTACCTGGGATCATAAAATTGAAGGAGCCCGAGTCGTTGGGAGCGAGGGATCTGTGAGAGGGAAACCTGTACTGGAGACTGCAACTCCTAAAGTATTGTGGAAGAGATACATGCCACCGTAAGTTTGATCTAGCAAAAGTAATGAAAACCTTCCATCTTTTGTGTAGCAACCACAAAAGAGAGCTAAGCCTTTTGTGTTTTTTTTTTCATTCAGTAACTAAGAGATGATTTAAAATTTGGTTTATTTTTACTTTACCTTGATTTTTTTCTTCATTTAATTAGTAGTAAGTATCTAATGTAAAAGTTTTGTTTCCATATTAGACGAGAATATGAAAAAATGTACAACTTTACTGAGCTTGCCTGTCAGTTAAATGAACCAGAAGAAGGCATAGCACCAACTGATAGCAGGCTTCGGCCTGACCAGAGGCTCATGGAAGAAGGATTTTGGGATGAAGCTAACCAGGTCAAAGTACTGCTGGAAGAAAAGCAGAGGGCTACTCGTCGAAAACGGGAACAGGAAGCTGAGATGTCAACTGCTGAAGGTAAAACTTGTACCCATGTCACTTTTGGCTGACTGAGTATCATTATTAACATTGTGTATTACTGTAATTGTTGACTGGTTAAGTATCATCTACTGTATCATTGTTAACATTGTATATTACTGTAATTGTTGACTGGTTAAGTATCATCTACTGTATCATTGTTAACATTGTATATTACTGTAATTGTTGTCTGGTCAAGTATCATCTACTGTATCATTGTATATTACTGTAATTGTTGACTGGTCAAGTATCATCTACTGTATCATTGTTAACATTGTATATTACTGTAATTGTTGTCTGGTCAAGTATCATCTACTGTATCGTTGTTAACATTCTATATTACTGCAATTGTTGACTGGTCAAGTATCATCTACTGTATCGTTGTTAACATTGTATATTACTGCAATTGTTGACTGGTCAAGTATCATCTACTGTATCATTGTTAACATTGTATATTACTGTAATTGTTGACTGGTCAAGTATCATCTTGTGTATCAGAGTTTTAATACTTTTACTCCAAGTTAGTCATATTTCATTTAGTGCACCATTACTTAATAAACTGTTATTTGCACAACATTATCAGAGCAGATAAAGACAGAGATACCAGTGCTGATCCAGGATTGTATTTAATCTTGTCTGTAGGTCGTCCCTACCCTGGCTACGAGCCCATCTGGTTTAAGAAGGAGACTGATCCTGTTACCGGTAATCCAGTTCATATTTTTCAAGGAAAGTATTGGGAAAGCAAAACAAAACAAGACTGGAGTGCCTGTCCAAATATCTTCCTCTGATTGCAAAGTTTGTATGTATGCTCTTTGATTGTTAAAGTTAAGTTGAGTCTCGTGATGGCCAAGTACTGCAGTTTTCTTTGTCAGCGTGGCACGGCACGATTGTTCACTAGAGGATCGCAGTACATGGTAGAATTTTTGATAGAATTAAGTCCTTTTGGCATCAGAAACATAGAAGTTATCACAGAATAATCCATTTAACCTAATGTGGGAAACACTTTGAATTGCTTTAGAGGATTATCAAATTACTTGTGAAAGTAGGATGAAATAATGTATATGTATGTGCACCTTTTAGAAGTGGCACATCAAACAAATGTTTCATAGGTTTAAGGTGATGGGCAACAGAAATATTACTTAAAATTTACCACAAATCAATAATTGGCAAGCATTAAAGGGTGTATTTATTTTGTTATCAAAAATATAAATGATGTAGAAACATGCAGTAGTTATTATTTAGCATTTGGTCTGTTCTAAGGATCGTTTACCTATAGTTTAATTGCATATATTTTTGGTCAGAATCGCTCGTTTTTTAAGGCCTAATTTTAAAAACTGGTCTGTAATAAATCATTAAAATGCTGAAGTTTAAAATCCTCAGAATTACTAAAATTACTTTGTAGAAACTTAACTCATGCCATCTAAAATCCTGTAATTTTATTTTACATGGTTGGTGGAAGCACAATTTTTACTGGAAGTTTAGAAATACTGTGGCATTTAGTGTATAAGATTGGGAATTATTTTGTAATTGTTGATTTGGTAAACATGAGTGATGTACGCATGTATATATTTCAGTTGATTGTCAAGTTGCTTTTTGTGTTTGGTATATTTTACTTCTAGCATGAGAGGTAGTTTAAAGAATGACCTTAGCAAGCTATATATGGCTTTGGAATGTATCCTTTATAAATGGTATGAACAGTATAACAGAAATATGTTAAATGGTAAATAAAAATTATAAATCAAGATATTATGATCAATACCGAGTCAACAAAAAGAGCTGAAAAGTTTAATTTTCAATTATTTTACTTCCTTGTGAATACATAGGCATACAGAGAGGACACACTATCTGTAGTCTGTTGTCTTTTACAAGTTTAAACATAAACTTTTATATATATAAATTACATGTAAAACCTATTCTAAACATTTTTTCATATGAAAGATTTGGATAGAATTGAATCCGTAGAAACTAACCTGTAGTTGATCCACAAATATTCTTGGTATGTTGTTTTGAATTTCCATATTCTGAAAAGTGTAGCGGCATGTGATGAATACAGTAATGTAACAGTTTTCATGCCATACTGTCATTCTCATTTTGACTTGAATAGCTTGTAGGAATTACAAACTGTTACGATGAAAATAAAAAACGCTGATGATAATATAGTGCTTTAGACTTTCATACAGGTTTGTATTAATGTGCCCCTGGGTGTTGGTTATTTCTAAAGAATGCTGATGAATTTAGGCTATATTATAATTCAGTATGGTCAGTAACAAAACAATTGCCAGGAATATTTTAATCAGTTTTTTAAAACATAGAAGGATCAGTTGATTGTATAGCTGGATGTAAAATATTGGACCAGTCACAGCCACCATTTAAATATATTTCTAATATGCAACAATAATTATTAAGCTGCTGTCTAAGAAATAATTTATGTGTATCTGATAAATACAACAAAACTGCCAGAATTTAGAAACTGAAGTTTGTGCTTAACTGTTGTATTTATTCAAAGTCAATAGTTTCATTCCAATAAGAAAATTTTTTGAGTTATGTTGAGTGGTTCGCATGCCGGAACATGAATCTGCAGGTTGGTAGTTTGTCAGTACCACTGATAAAGACAAGCTACTATGTACATAAGTTTTATGTATGTCTAATTTGGGTTTGTTGCTAAAATCTTTATTATAAGATTGCCAGAAAGTATGTATGATTTAAAAATATTTATCACAGAAACTCAATATTCTAGAAATATTCAATCTATGAACTAGGATATACTAATAACTATAGGAAGCAGATATCAAAATGTAAACTATTATTTTCTCTTGTATTTGTATTAAATAGAAAATTTTAGTTATGCTACTTGAAAGCATTCCTGTGATATTTTATTTGGGATATGTAAGAGTACATGCATTTTTTTGTTCCATAAACACTGGTGCTTTGTTTAAGAATAGTAGATTTTCATTATATAAACAAAACAAAATATATTGGTGTCATATTTACCCAGCAGTTAAATGAAATTCGTTTTCTTTCTCTTGTTTAAGTATTTAAATGGCCAATCTAAATTATAGGATAGCAGAGGAACCCAGCCAAAGTAGTGTTTTAATTGGCTGTAATTTGTGTTTTATATAAAAAATGTGTATATATATATATATATTGTATTTTGCAAGATAATTAAACGTCATGTTAAAGGAACTTGTGTATAAATTTGTAAAGGGCTTTATGGAAAAACATAGAGTTCTTAGCATGATTGTAGATATGTATTGTAACACTGGAAAATAAGCTAAAGTTTATTTCTCAAACATTTTAAGACTTGCTTGTATGCATATATGAAACTGTACTGTTTCATTGGCTAACCTGAGTTTAACTTGGACATAGGAGTGGGTCATTATCAGGGTTATTCTTGATTTGCACTCGCCAAAATTACAATAGTGCACTTTAGTGTGAAAAGTTTTATAAACAGTTATATTGTTTATGGTGTTATATTGATTTTTATTTAATAGTTAAACAATAATGAAAGTTATGTTGAGGATTGTTTTTTTTTATTGGAGTTAAATTAATAAAATAGGAATTTCTGCTTTTCATAGCATAGCTTCAGCTATCTCTTCATTCACGTTAGTTTTTCTACTGATAATGTTAGCATCATTGTTTCCAGATGTGAAATACTTGATTTTCTTGATGTGTTCCAGAGGATCCCGTGATAAATTCCATTAACCTCACTTTCTCCATTTTGCCAATGAATACCATGAAATGCATCTAATTTCACAAATTATTTCTTTGCCTTTTGGTAAGCTAAATTTTTCAATAATTATTTATTTTTTATCTTGACTGATACTGATGTACTTTTAGGTTATTTCAATGACAGGGATTGTGTTGAAAATAGTTTATATTTTGTGTTCATTTATCAGTTATGTTTGTTGTAGTAGTTGTTTATTAACAGGTTTGTACTTGTTTCCCATGGCTATAAAATCCTGTTGGATTTCTGATGATGTGAACATTACATCATTCTCTAGTTTGAAATGTTGGAATAAAGGTTATTGATATGGAGCATTATTTTTCATCAATTTAAAAAAAAACCTCAGTTGCATGTTTCACCCAATGTAGTGGATTGTGAATGGCTGTGGAAGAGACTCAGTTTAAGTACAAACACATCAGCTGGACTACATAAAATTTTACTCATGAAGGCCATCAACCTGGCAAGAAACTGTTTTTAAACTGAAAGCAAAGCTCTGTGGCGAGATCAAGGTTGAGATTTTCTTTAGATGTGATGATTCTTTCATTAGAGTCATGGATAGTAATTGATTTCTTGCCTCTTCCACAGCTAAACTTTTGTTTCTGGAACTTTGTTAGGGAACAGTGGCGTAGTGAGGGTATTTGGCACCCTGGGGCAAAAACCTCAATTTGTGCCCTATTCCACACATACATACCCATTAAAATACTGTAGCTTACTGTAAAATGAAAGTCTATGTAATATGAGAAACATTATTAATAAAATAAAACATTATAAAACAAAGTTTATCAATATATGAAATAATAGAACAGGGATGATTATTTACACGCATATAGAAATGTGGCCTTTCTTTAATTAGATGAATTATACAAGATGCAACTTCTTTGCTTTAACTGCAGTAAGTTTATCTATAATTTTGTCAAGTGTTTCCCTCTCTATGCTAATTATGGCTAAGTCACTGAGCTGGTCTTGCCTTATCGATGATCTCAAATATGTGAGAATAAATTTTAATTTGCTAAATGATCGTTCGCAGCTACCAATTGAAACTGAAACTGTTAACATGATTTGCAGTGCCACATGCATATTATGGAAAACGTCCTCTCCTTATGCTATTATGAATGATAATAAATCAATAACAGAGTCTGGTGCAGCTTCCTGTAGTGTATTGGTGAGCATTTTGCAGTCGCAAATTTCATGATAGAGTGTATTTCCATCACTGTCAGTGTTGTATAATATACCCAAACGTTCACACTTTTCTTTAAGGGAAGGTTCTGATGTTGACGGAACACGGGTATCTTTCAATAGCTTGTGAATGTTAAAAAGGAATCCAAATCTCTCATTCAGGTCATGCAGTCTTGTGAATCTGGTTTTCATCTCTTGCTGGAGGCGATCGAGAATACATTTCAATGCCCTTTCTAGCTCTCCCTCCGTTGAAAGGCCTTTGTCTCGTGATACTTCTCCACTCATTGCTTTTTTTCTTCTTATTCTTCTGCTTATTCTTTTAGTGAGTTCTGACACAATTCCTCACTGTTTTCATAAATGTATAATTACAGGACTTTAATATCTTTATATGCCTCTTGAAAGTTCATTGTTGGATCTTGTAAGCGCTTCTGCACGCGATCAGTTTTTATCAATGTGGTATATCAAAAGTGCAAAAATTGAAAGAAAGCAGGTTGTGAAATATTTGGCCAGCTTCTCCTGTCGTTTCCATTGTTTGCTCAATGTCCTCTGATAGAGTTTCAAGTAACCTTATTAGCTTATCAAAATTATTGTGGATTACTTTGACTGCTTCCACTCTTGCATTCCAAGTTTGTGTTCGGAATTAGCGAGACTCTCATGATGCAAGGTTTTGAGTTGCTAGATATTTGATACAGTTTAGTAGGCGATATAAAACCTGATGCCAACGCTCTTGTTCAATGACCACGTTAGCTTCCAATTTTGCATCTATCCCCTTTCCTTTACTCATCCTCTTTCCAGATACAGAAGGGTTTCCTATGGCCTACACTTTCTTCATGAGTTATGGTTTTTTTATTATTTTTCCAATTGTTAAATCCACCGGGTTTTTCAAAGTATGAACGCCTGTTAGAACTGCACTCTGAAAACAATACACTCCCTTATTTGATGGTAAATAAACAAGCCACGTTCTATTTACTTCTTCGTCTTGTGCATTGGGAAGTCGAAGCTTGAACAATGAAGCTGATAGAGAACGTTGCAAAAGGCCCATCCTTATTTTGGAATACTAATGATCCCTGTCTTATCATCTCTTTTCGCAACTTATCAGAAATTTTGAGCTTCTGTGATGTTTTATCAAATGTCAAAAGACATTTCGAATTATATTTATATCATTCAGGCAAGGGTCACCATTATCACTCCCTCCATCAGGTAAGGGTCACCATTATCACTCCCTCCATCAGGTAAGGGTCACCATTATCACTCCCT